TGGAGGCACGCTGCCTCCAGATCACGCCACTGTTTCCAAAGCAGTGACATTCTCACTGGAGGTTTGTGTATGGATGGGTTTGCATACATTTAGTTTGTGTTTGGACATCCACACACACCCCGGTGGCTGATTCAACAGCTGGTACCCAAGCGCTGCTGGGAGCAGGAATAGACTGGCTACGACAATTTATAGCAAGGATGTTGCATATTCTGGGAAGCAATTAAAATGGCTGTGAGCATAAGGAATATAGTTTGAGGTGTGATAATAAATTAGGCAGACATCATTTATATTGCTTAGAAAAATGAGATTAAAGGGATGTCAGGGTTTCCTATAATCTCCAAAGTAATGTACTGATCTTGGTAAAACGATTGAGGCTGCAGCAGAGAGCCCTACGTGTAAATTGCTTGTACAAAATGATAGTGTGGGTGCATGGAGAACTGCAGACAGAGTAAACTTAATGAATCTTCATTGTGGGGTCTTTAACCAGTTACAGATTTTCACATGCTGAGGTTATACAGAATTTACAGAAACCATACAAAATGCTCTTCTAAAATGTCCGTGTTGTATCTAGACATTAGACACCAAATATGTAAATAGCAGCAAAGAAACATACTTTCTCCTGATTTTATTGTGTTGTAATAATAACCTGATTTTACTGCATTAATAATGCAGGTTGTTTTATTGTTTGCTGGTCTCAGGTACTCACAGTGAAATGAAAACAAACCCTTCCCTCTCTCCCTGCACCTAGTCTGCAGAATTATAAGCAGTAACTTTCAGGAACAATTGCAGTAATTTCATAACTCACAACTGAATTTCTATTAAAAATTAGATGTTTTTAAATCAAGATCCAGTGCCTAGATTAGGATAATGCTGTAGCATTTTTTTTTTTAAATGGGTTTTATACTCAACACTGGAATGCTGACTTTGTGACTGTGAGACAATTCATTGTATAAAATCTGGAGCAACTTAAAAAGGGAAACCTGAGAATGGCTATCAAGATGGATTGTATTTGGGGAGAGGTTTATGACACTTAATAGTAGGTAAAAGAACAACCTGCTTTTCTGGGTTGACTGTAGAGATGCTGTAAACACAGTCGTGAAGCAAGACATGAAAACTGTCCTGATAAAACCAAGCTCCTACTGTAATAAATTTCTGATAACCTGGTTGCTTATGTACCACAGAAGACTTATATTCCTGTGGAAACTGAGCTGGGAAGTGTGACCTTGCTTTTAATGATAATTATTTTTCAAATTATAACTTTTTACAAGAAATTGATTCTCAAACCAGCAGTCTCTGTCTGCTGTCATTATTATTATTAATAATAACAATTGATATTATTAGTAATAATATTATTGATACATTGGCTTTCATTATCTTTTTGAGAGGAAGAGATGTTGCTTAGTGTAGCTGCAATTTTTATATTTCTGATGGAAAGCTGAATGGCTTAATTGCTTCATATGAAGGAAGTGCCCTCATTATGAGTTTGCTTCTTTGATGAGGAGACCCCAGGTGTTAATTACAGCCCTCCTGCCACAGCCAGGTACGGGGTGAGCGCTGTGGGAATGCCAGTCCCCACGGGATGGCGCTTGGGATGTATTTATTGAAAACAGCTGCCCTGAAATTACACGGGCTCTCGCTGCCTGCAAACTTCACAAGTTGTGTCTTCTCCTAAAAACTGTACTGGCTGATATTTTTTTTTTCCCCTTTATGAATGGAACTTTTTCTCAAGAGTTTATAGTATAACATGGATTTGGTTCTGGAGCCTCCAAGCCAGTACTTTGCTTGCTTGCTTTATTTCTGAACTTTTTTTTGTTCACTAGGATGATATTGAGTTATCAGCCATTTGCACGCAAGGATTTGGACAGTGTGTGTGAGGAAAGGTGTATCTCCTAGTTCATTGTGTACTAAAGGACTTACACTTGCATTAGAAATATTTTATTTTCTTCTAGTGAGACTGGGTTTGTGGCTGTGTCAGTCTGCCAGGGCCTCGCTGAAGCTCTGATTTCAGATAAAGCAGTAGCCCTTTATTCTTATTTGCAGATGTTAGTATTACGTGTTGCTGATAGATGCAAATGGGGATTCACACAATGACCTATACAAACAGAAAGATGTCCTTAAACTTATCAGATAGAGCAAAGTGTGAACAGTAAAGAATAATGAAATTTAAGATAGCATATATTAAATTAATAATAATAGTAGTACCTTTCAATATATTTATTCTTTTTTATTGTTGTCCTGGCTTCTAATTCATTTTTAAATCTGTTAATCCATGAAAGAGCTATCATCTCCTCACAAATAGTTCTCTGCCACCATCTGAAAAGCTCAACACACAAGCCAAGCAGCTTACCAGTAACAGAAACCACAAAGTGTAGCGTTATAGGTTATCATTATCTCTGTGCGTAAGCGGGAACTAACACCTCTTGCAAATGTAAATACTCCACCTGCTCATTGTAAAGAGGTTGGAAAGCAGAAAGGTGGATAATAGACATACCTGAATCCAGCTGTAATAAAATCAATGCCCTGAAGGCAAGTCCTCCCCCAAGAAATTATTTGTATTCATAGCATAAATTGAGCTAATGTGGAATAAAACCCCAGGGATGCCAAAGCAGCTCATGACTTTCACCTGTGCTGGCAAATGTAGCAAAAGACTCTTTAAGTCTCCCAGCCAATGAGTTAGGAAAATTATTTTATATATGTGTTGAAATATAAGCTAGAAGCGGGAATGTTTTGGTACCAGTGTGATGTGGCTAAGGTAACATAGCAGCTTGCTGCTGCCAAAAGAGGAATACCTCCTTCCTGTCTGCCTTCCTGTCTTCCCTCCATCTGTACCCACCGTGGTGCAGTATCTCTCCCTTGTCAGCTCCAGCACACATTTGAACCCTTTTGTTGAGCCAACACAACTCATCACAACCATGTAAATAACAGGACAGTGCAGAATGACTCTTTCAGCAGCACTAGGTTGTTACGTTAGCTCACCTTGCTTCATAAAACTACATCCTGAATCCAGCTGAATCTGGGCAACTTAGCAATATTGTCCTGCCAGGCCTTCCTCCAAAATACACGGGAAGTCAGCTGGAGGGCTCCACAGGATTTCACTGAGCTTTGGGTAGAGGCAGTGGAGATCAGCCTAAAAGGTGCTGCTGTCTGTAGTGCTATGAGTACTGATGTTTTTCCAGGAGCAAAAGGAGTTGTGATTCTGCTGTTGTCACTATAAACGCTTTCAATTAACTGGTGGTGCTTTCCACAAGGGTATGTGCGTATTGCTACTCTGATGTAGCTGCTAAGCAGTTAGAGCCGAGCAGTTCTTTGTAAGAAGTCCCCAGAGGAATCATACGTGTCTTCCTGCAAGATGAACTCTGTCAGAACTTCATCGTACAGCAGTGAGGTGGAAACATGGGAAAACCTTCCCCTCTGGACTGACAGCCTCCCTCACTGCTGCGCTAGATTTTATACACATATTTGTCAGCTTTTTTAAAGAAGAATTGCAAACTTTTATCTTTAAAAAGCTTGATCAGCTCAAATGTCTGCATAGAATGCGATTTTTTCCTCTCCCTTGCAGACTCGACCCCAAGTTAAACTGTGCTTTTCCTGCCTAGACACTGCTCAAGAGAGCCCACAGCCTGGTGCAGAGCTATCAGAGCTCACTAGCCAGTCTGGTAATTCCAAGCCACATGTTTTGGTATGGTGGGTGTTTGGAGGTACCTATTAGATAAATTAAGGTAACTCAAGTAGCCAGGGATTCTAATAATTAGCTTAGACTAGATACCTAACTGTAAGTAGCTCAAGTTTAATGAGACGTATCTCCACTAAGCTGTATTCTTCTAAAATATAAGTGCACGGTTTAGCTGTGCTTTCTATCCTGTAAATCCCATTATGACTGTTTCTCTCCTGGGTCCAACTTGATGAATTTATTTATTCAGCAACAACTTTAAGATTTTTTTTAAAGCAGTTTAGCTATGTATGAGTATTTTTCATTAGCAGATTGTTGGGCAGGGTTGTAATGGGTTGTTGAATAATAATGCAGGATATGTCTGAAAAAATCTCTTGTTACAATTTGAGGAAGCACCATTATGATAAATACAGATTTTTAATTTAAAAGGTGAAACGACACCAGTCTTCTAAATGCACATAAAGTCATATTATAACATATTATACAACTAAAGTGGAAGCACACTGATTTGAATCTTGTTCTTGATCTTATTCAGAACAGCTTTGAAGTTCATTTGGAAGAAAAGGCTTTTTATTCTGCAACAGCTGATAGTTTGGGAAAAAAATGAATTTCAACATTAGTCCGTGGTTCCCCTGCTATTATAGCTAATCATATATTTTCAAATACTGATTTTCCAGAAGGGCCTTCTGCATCCTGAAGGTGAGCTATAAAGCAATAATTTAGTTGTGTAATAGATTCACAAGTAACTGCAGACAAAAATTGTCCAGAAAGCTATGGAAGTGCTAGACACTACATCGTGTGGCTTACTGTATGAGAGATGAGGACTGACACTAGGAATGTGATGTGTCAATCCATTAAGAGCAGTTTGGTGGGTAGGTTTGTAAGAGAGTTGTCAGAGTTAACGTTTCCCATGAGCACTGGAGGTAACTGGTCCATCCATACATGCTGCTGCTGCGGCTGCAGAGAGAGTGGCTGTGCAAAGCAAATCTCCTATTTATGTGTTTCCAAATGAATGGTAGAGAGAACACAGCTTTTAGTCTCTGCAGCAGCGTCTGGTCCTGTCACGGTAGGAGAGTGTAAGGCTCATAGGAGTAACTTCCTATCTGAGAATTGCTCCAAATCATCATCTTAGACCTGCTGCAATGTGCCTACCACTTCAGGGTCCCAGGCTGCGTTCTTTGTAGCCTCCTTCTGGGTGTTTTTGTTCTGATCATGCTCCATTTCAAAGAATTCATCACTTTTAAAACTACCTAATTCCACCTTATTTTATGTGCTTGACTGAAGCACTATACAAAATATCTAATTATTTTGAGCTCTCTGTCAGCACTGGGCAGGGCGAGAAGAGCATTTCCAGAAGGCAGTTCTGCTGTAGGTGGAGCGGGTTGCTCTGAGAGAGGCCCGTCTCTCTCCATGGAGTGTATTGGAAACCAGGGGAAATTGGGTCCTAATCAGACAGCATAGATCCAGAAAATAAGTTTATATGTAACTGGACATCAGTTTTTGTTAGAACCACCAGATACTTTCAGATTTCCTGCAAGGGCTGAAACAAACAAACAAACAAACCCTCCCTTTCCACATTATTAAATGTTGGTCAGGCACCCTGCTAAACAGACTTGCAAAAGGATTTTGCTTTTCTTCTGTTCAGCCTCCAAAGGAAGGAGCTTGTAATGCTCAAGTCTGTAACACCCACCGTACTTAACTGAGCCTCTGAGTACTTCCCATCTTTAAGGGATCCAAGAGTAAGAAGAGAAGGTCCTCCTAAAGACTGAACTTGTTCCAAGGAGGTTGGTGTTTGGAAAATAATCATCACTGCAGGGGATCCACCTATGTAAATAAGCAATGGGAAAGCTGGAAACCTTAAGCACCATCATGTAATAAAAGAGGTTTTTCAGAACTTGTTTCCACTTGTCTTTAAGAAGAACACGGGTAATGCTCAGTACTAGCAATCAGGGAACTTGAGCACAACTTTCAACTGAAAGCTGGACATAGCTGCCTGGTCACAAGTTATTTCATTCCCACACTTCACCTCCTTTATCTGCACCATGCCTGAGAGTGATGGCAGTGCTGGGTAAGGGAAATGTCGTTTAGGCTTTTATTTCATTAGTTGCACGCAGCTACATAATGATTTTGCTAGTTCCTTTT